GAGAGAATAGCAATTCCTGAAGTTTGTATAGATGTCTCTTTCCCGGCAAGTCACATTCAGGTTAGAAATAGAAGAGATTTCTAACATTGCCCTAAAGCATTCTGTTCAAGTACATACAGCTCCAAATGTAGTAAAAAATTATGTGTTTCTTTTGAAATTGTGTGATGGGGGGGCAGTGCTTCTAAGCATTTAAAAATGGAGCTGTTACAATAGCTATTTTTCCAAAAGACTGTGATTTTTTAGAAGTTTGATGTACTGCTGACTCAAATACCTTCAAAAGGTAAAGTACACGTGACTTCCACGTAATACGCAGTGGGGAATGTGTAGTTTTTTAGAGGTCCAAGGGCTTGGTAAGGGTGAGGAGTTGTTTTTATACATTTTTTTTCTAATTACATATTTAATCTCCCATGTTTGTACCTTAGTTAAGCCAGGTTTAAAATCAGTATCTCATAGTATAATCAAAATTACTTAGTCAAATCTGCTGAAGTATTTGAGGTAGAGAAGAGGATTATATTGCTTCAGTTTTGCTGTTGTGATCACTATTGAAAGCTGACTTGGCAGAAAGCAGTCCCTTTTTCTGGTTAAAAGGGAAACGGGCTATGAGATAAGTTATTGATGAAATTAACTGCTGAAGTGGAGAGGAAATGCAGCTGGCCAATACATGTCATAGTGTGAGCTCTATTAAATGAATATATGTGCAGTCAACCATTCACAGGAGCCACACTGGTCTTGAACTGCATTGATCTATAGTATAATTCTAAATGAAATTGATGGAAGAGAGCAGCCATTGACAGGAAGGGTAAAGAGAACCATGAAATGTCTTGTACAGGAAAAGTATGATGGAAAGTAGGCTCATCTATGCCATGGATAGAACATGCAGGGAAACCATGTTATTTCTAGACGTTCTAGGTACGTTACCCTTATGTAGTGTATCTCACTGGACTCTTCAAAATGTGCTTTATAGTATTTTATTTTTAGAAGAAAATACATTAAAAAATCCTGTCAAGAGTTTTAAATCTGCTTTTCAAGAACTGTAGATACAGCTTTGCAGCTTGTATCTGAGCTTTGGGTGAAATTTAGTTGTGACAATGTGTTCTGAGAGCTGTTTATATTAAGATTTAAAGATTTGTGTACTTACTATGCACTTAATACAAATGCAGCTGTTACAGGAAGGCTTGTAAACTGCTTTCAAGACTGTTGTGTAAAAATTCTACCTTCTAGTCAGATATAATTTCAGGTGGCTTCTATGTCAAGCTTGTCCTTTCAAACTGTTAGCTCATTGAACTACTTAATTTACAGGCCTTGATGAATAAAACATTGGGTTCTGTTAGATTTTACTTACATCAGGGTCCACGTGTCCTATAAAAGAATCTATCTCAATTTTTTGTTCACTCATAGATACCCTTTCTTCATGTATTGCCTTTTAGATTCAAAGCTTCTAGCACGTTGTCTTCTTGTCTGTGTAAGAAGACTCAAACCTGGATAAAGTCCTTTGCCAGTGTTTCCTTCAGTTTAATTGCCACCATATCACTTCTAGTGATGGGACTGCTTTGTTAGTTTTTATTGGGATGGTTGAAATATAGAAGGAATTATGGGTATATACGCATGTATGTTTACACACATTGTCTAAAATTTACAAATAACTAGAAAAATCTATTTTTATTTCATGCCCATGGCACACAGTAACAATAGTGTATACAGTTGCTGGGCTGTAGCATAACAGAAGGTGTAATTATTACTTCAGAAATATTTAAGCTTTCTTTAGTGTAGCAATTGTGAAGAGTATTGCTGAAGTTGTAACACCCTTTTTAAAGGCTTCAAACTAGATGGACATTATTACTAACTGTAAATGTTTTTAAGAGATTTGCAATGTTTGTGCACAGTCTTTTTTGAATTTTACATTAGCAACCTATGTAATATTCCAGATTTGGTGATATCCATCAAGCTAGTTACTGGCTCTGCACTGGTCTTAATTTTCTTTTTCTTCAATACTAGTCTTCTGTCTGTAAAGCATGCTGATTCTCTGCAGTACGTATTTGTCTGTTTCTGGACCCTCCCTCGAATCTGAAGTACTGCGCATGTGTTAACAGGGTTCTTTAGCTTTGGATCCTTGACAATTTACAGGTGATTTAAAATTATTTCTTTCATAGAATCGTAGAATGCTTTGGGTTGGAAGGGACCTTTAGAGGTCATCTAGCCCAACCCCCCTGCAGTGAGCGGGGACATCTTCAACTAGACCTGGCTGCTCAGAACCCCATCCAACCTGGCCTTGAATGTAACCAGGCATGGGGCCTCCACTGCCTCTCTGGGCAACTTGTTCCAGTGTTTCACCACCCTCGTTGTAAAAAATTTCATCCTTATATCCAGTCTAAATCTACCCTCCCTCAGTTTAAAGCCATTGCTCCTTGTCCTACCGCAACAAACCCTGCTGAAAAGTATTTTCCCCATCTTTCCTAGAGGCCCCTTTCAGGTACTGGAAGGCTGCTGTAAGGTCTGCCCAGAGCCTGCTCTTCTGCAGGCTGAACAGCCCCAGCTCTCTCAGCCTTTCCTCACAGGAGAGATGCTCCAGCCCTCTGATCATCTTTGTGGCCCTGCCCTGGACCCGCTCCAACAGGTCCATGTCCTCCTTGTGCTGAGGGCTCCAGAGCTGGACGCAGGACTCCAGGTGGGGTCTTGCCAGAGCGGAGAAGAGGGGCAGAATCACCTCCCTCACCCTGCTGGCCATGCTGCTTTTGATGCAGCCCAGGATACTGTTGGCCTTCTGGGCTGTGAGCACACATTGCTGGCTCATGTCAAGCTTTTCATACACCAGTATCCGCAAGTCCTCCTCCTCAGGGCTGCTCTTAATCCCTTCATCCCCCAGGCTGTATTGATACCTGGGGTTTCCCTGACCCAGGTGTAGGACCTTTAACTTGGCCTTGTTGAACCTCATGAGGTTCACACAGGCCCACTTCCCAAGCTTGTCCAGGTGCCTCTGGATGGTGTCCCAACCCTCATGCGTGTCAACCACACCACTCAGCTTGGTGTCATCTGTAAACTTGCTGAGGGTGCACTCGATCCCGCTGTCTAGGTCATTGATGAAGATATTAGACAGCACTGGTCCCAATATGGGCCCCTGGGGGACATCTCCATCTGGACATTGAGCCGTTGACAACTACCCTCTGACTACCCTCTGGATGCGACCATCCAACCAATTCCACCAAGCAGTCCACCCATCAAATCCTTGCCTCTCCAATTTAAAAAGAGAAGGATGTTGTGGGGGACCATGTCAAAGGCATTACAGACATCCAGATAGACGACGTGCTTAGCTCTTCCCTTGTCCACTGATGTAGTCACTCCATCATAGATGGCCACAACTTTGGTCAGGCAGGACTTGCCCTTGGTGAAGCCATGCTGGAGTGCCTCAGATCACCTCCCTGTCCTCCATGTGTCTTAGCATGGCTTCTAGGAAGGTCTGTTCCATGATCATCCCAGGCACAGAGGCAAGGCTGACAGGTTGGTAGTTGCCACAGTCCTCCTTTCCAGCCTTTTTAAAAATGGGCACAATGTTTCCCTTTTTCCAGTCAC